TCATTTATTTTCCTGCTTTATGTGCACTTAAAAATGTAGTCAACACCAAATAAAGCTATTCTCATACAAAAAGAGAAAAGGTTAATTTCTCATTAAAAAATATCGAAAAACCCTTTGATGTCATCGGATGATGTTATAAATACATTTCATCTGGAGAAGTCCTAAAAATATCAAGGAAGGATACACTGAGTCCAAGTGGGCCATGTTCACTGTCTTAGTGAGGAAACTGTCAATCCCGAAGGTGGAAACGGATGGTGATGGATGCTATCAGGCTGAAGGAGTCCTCTTGACTTTTTGCATGTGGGACTCCTGAGACAGTCAATAGGTACCAGTAGTCCAAGTGGAAGGCAGCTCAGGTGGTTACTGAGGCAAAAATCTGGGGGTGGGAGGAGTTTGGCAATTCTGGTCCAGCATCCAGTGCCTCAGGAGGGGCACTAAAGCAGTGGTCATACGAAAATTGAAACGTATTTATTTGCTGTGCGTTAGTCTTTTTACCACATTATTCTAACTGTTGAAATGTCTCCTCAGCCTTCATTAGTTTCTACAGGAGCAATTTATCACTTAACAAACGATCAGCTGTGTTCACGATCTAAAACACGAAGGAAACAAGCTGGAAGTACACTCCAGCTCCACCATGTTGGCTCAACTCCACTCCACTGCTTACCCCATCAGCAAGGACCAGACCGGCAACTCTGAAGTTGCAAGTCCGGTATTCTGGCCACTGGGGGCGGTGGGGGTCTGAGTGACTTTTCATTAACCCTGTAAAAGGTCACTTTAGTACATGTTGGCTGAAGAAAAAGATTTTAAAATATGAAAAAGTTGCATAGTATCCCTTTAAATGACTTTATTAAATAGTAAAAAAAAAAAAAAAAAAAAAAAAAAGCATGGCTATAAGCTTGGAACCATTAAGAACAAAATTACCACACCAAACAGTAAACAAAACAAGCAGGTGCTTCCAATCAGCAGACGGCCTGCTCCAAGTGCTGCTGCATGAACCTGAAACACAGGAAAGTTCATCAACATGCTGTCACAGAGATAGTGAAATAAAGGACTATTTCACTGCTCACATTAATAGTACTCTCTCCTATCTCCTTCCCAGTGACCCCCTTTCCTCCCCCTCTTATTGATGCCTTCACCCACCATCACGTTGAAGCTCATCCCACATATGCGTGTGTTGTTGGTAATGAGCCCCAACGTAATGCCACTTTAAGTAGAAATAGTCCTAAAGCCTGTCTTCTGTTCCAGTATCTAATCACATCACACTGCTTTGTGTTGCCATGGGCACACAAGGATAGGCTTAATTAACAAGTGAGTGTGAAATACAAACATCCAAGCTGTCAGGAATATTATTAGGATTTTTTTTAATATAAATGTTTGATTGCACTTGAAACAAACTATATATTTGCCTATGCTTTTATAGATTGCAATTTTAACATTTATGAATCTTTATTTTCTTGAAACTAAAAATGGTTTGTGGTACATCAGAGCCAAAAGATGTGGACGTGTTCTGGCAGAGTTCCCTGTTTTGCAGTAATTGCTGTGGGGCAGCGGCTTGTTGCTGAGTTGAGATGGATAAGTGGCTGACCTAGTCTCACACTGTAGTTCCTCTGTGTGTCACAATACGAAAAGAGGCTTAAGCCTGGAGAAGAATGGTGATTCTTCTTACTGTTGCTGTGCTTCTTAGTGCTTTTCTCACTTTCTCAAGCAGAACCTGTGCCGATTCAACTACTTACATTTTGTCTCGTGTGCACACACACACACACACACACACACACACACACACACACACACACACACACACACACACACACACACACACACACACAGGTAATGTGACTGAAAACTTGCTTCACAAAGCTTGGTTTCATGGGGATCATCGTCTTGTTCTGCAACCTGCATGTTACTTACAGCCTGTTTAATTTCTGCTGCGGCACTTACTCACTGTCTTGGTGCGCTCTCCCTTACACACACTGGCCTTTAGCTACTGTACCCAGGTGTGTTTTCTGTCTGGGTCTGCAGTGCACTTCCAGTTTACTGAAATGCGTTTCGACGCCTGTCACTGTATGTGACAGGTTATTCCCCCTGGGACAAAGAAATCAGGCTCTTACGACACACAGCAAACCTCTAGACAAGAAGTGGGGAGTTGATTTTGCACTGAACTATATTTCTGGTTGTCTCCTACCATTTATGTTAGTTACAATAATACACATGGCATCCACACTAGATGAAATTTAAACATTGGTTATGTCTGGAATCCTTAGTGTTTCATTTCTATTTGAAGATTCTGTTTCTGTATATGCTATATGGCATGGCAGCATTCAGAATTAGAGCAATACAATAATTTGGCTCCGTATTTCTGGAAGTAGTGTTTTATATTCCTACTGAAGATGGACTCTACGTCAATACGTCAGAGGTAACTTTATACAACAAATGATAATAATAATCTTAAACACTACATTATTCAAACTAGTTAGTGTTTTCAATTACTTATTAAACATGATTTTCTCTAGACGAGACTAAAGTTAAGGTGGTTAGAATAAAAAACTGACTCAACAATCTTCTTATCAGTGGGACACAAGCTTTCCTGGTCTGGGTTGAGGACAGGGAGAATTGAGGCTCTAGATTTCAAAACATAACTAGTAATCACATTTACAATGACAAAGTACAGAAAAAGTTGCTTTATTTACAAAACTGCTCATGCAATTCCTCTATCTGCTGATCACGCTTTATGTTTCAGTCAAAAAAGTTTCATTCAGATCATGCTGCAAAAGCGCAAATGAACAAATGTTATTTATTAGATTCATATTTCAAGACAATTGCTTTTTCATTCTTTTATAATTATCTTTCAGTAGAATGTATTTTATTCGATATTAAATGTTCCTGTTTCCAGTTGCTGCATCACCATGAATCACCTTTCATGTGATCAGATGTCGTTTTTCTGGGTAAATCTACACAAAAGGCTTTTGCTAAATGTTTATTTTAAAAACAGCATATTTAGGCACATTATAACAAAACACGACGACAAACCTTTTTAAAGCCACTGAATGTGTTAATGGAAGGACTGTGAGGTTGTTGTTTTATGGTCGTTTCTGCATATGTTTTCATGATTTCCAGCTGTTCAGTCAGATTAGGGCCTGCGGACTATTTCACCTCATTATGCCAAACAGATCCTCGCTGAAAGGATTACATAAACCCAAGATACCTTCTATCTCTTGTTCATATCATTTTGATTTATTGTGGTGAAAAAAGTCAGCCAATCAGATGCAACGATTCTCTAATTGTAGAGACAGAGCCCTTAAGGCAGAGTGAATAGGGTGGGGGGGTGGGGGGGGGGGCAGTAAGGGAGATGCTGTAAAATTAGCTATGCTGTCAAAGCAGTTTGCACTTGGCTTTAAAGGAATTGTCATCAACTGAGCGGGCTGAGGGAAGCCCGCCTCATTCTCATGCATTTTGCCTGCAGTGAGGCGTCTAACTTTGCCTTCTTAAAAAAGCAACTCTTTCAGGTCTGTGCAAACCTGATATAAACAGCTAAATAAGAGTGAAGGGTCATTAGAAAAGGCTCTTATTATCCATATTTGCAATCACGTAAAAAAGAGCAAACATGAATGATGTTGAGTGTTTCCTCTGAAAGTGTTTCCATCCATCCATCCATTTTTGTCCCCCTATCCAGAGTCGGGTGGCGGGGGCAGCAGCCTAAGCAGAGAGGTCCAGACTTCCCTCTCTCCAGCCATTTGAGCCCGCATATACAGCTTGTGTGTGCAGAAGTTAGCAAGCCAACAGTGACATTTAATCATTATGGACACTGGACATGCTATGTGACATAAAAACCACAATACAAGTTTGTGTTTTGGTTTAGATATTTAATTTATTGAATTGGCTGGCGTGCAGAAAAATGGCTCTGATCGAGGGTCAAATTGACTTGCGCTCAAGATGGTATGGGTCGGACAAATTTTACACTGCCAGGTTGGCCAGTTTGTTGTGTGACTGCACGGCAGTCAGAGTGCTGCTGCAGCCACACTGAAGTGCTCCTGCACAAAGTGAAGGCAGCTGTCAAGCAGGGTCTAACAGGCCAGTCCTACACGGACCACGGTCTCCCGTATAAAGTTTTCTTCCAAATCTAGACTTTTCTGCTGTATTTAGAACAGCTGTTGATTGCACACATCCCCCAGCCTTTCTAGACACGCTCACTAAAGAAGCAACTTCCACTTCTTGCTGCTTATTGTCAAAAGCCTGCTTTGTAGGCCTACAGCTGCCTGACTGTCACCGCAGAAATGGCGGCGGCTCAACTTCTGGTTATTTTGTCGACTCTGTCTGGGGTTGTCCTGGCTCATCCCTTTAGTTATGCTGTCATTTGTTGTGGTAAACTCAATAGAGCTGAGGGAGTAAGTGACACTCAGAGGGCAGCACACAACAATTTTCAGACTAACTTCAGACAATTCAACACCTAATTACCGCATTCAACATTTGAGCTTAGCTCTTTAGTCACCATCAAGATAAAACCACCGAAACGTTGTTTAATTTAAATAATGATTATTATTATTGTTAATGTTATTATTATTATTATTATTATTATTATTATTATTATTATTATTATAATGACAGGGTTGCGGAAGGCGCTTTATAAATAAAGCTTTGATTGATTGATTGATTGATTATTATTATTATTATTATTATTATTATTATTATTATTATTATTGAGGAAGACCCAACATTTTATTAGGTTTCTGTTGCAAAGATGACAAAAATATCAACTTAAAAATAAAGCACGAAAATGACAGATTTTTACGCATGATTTATTTTTGAGATACCAGTTTGGTTTGTAGCTAAAATATTCCTTCACGTGTTTCAAATTCATCACAGTTCAGATTAAGGCAAACAAAACCATGTGGGGCTGATCAGGTATCAGAGATGGTGTCCAATCACAAAAATATCCTTTGGACACTCCTTTATCTGCTTGGCCAATCTGTGAGTGTTTCCATGGAAAACCTCTGTTTTTCGGTCAATTACAAAATAATAAATGTACTCTTGCGAGCTCGGCTGTCGCTCGGGTTTTTCCGGTCCGAGTCCCTGAGTGTTTACGCTGCAGACGCGTCAGTCGGGTGCTTTCAGCTCGCGCGCTGAGGTTTTTGTTCGCTTGTGTTGGAACAATTCAAATAAGAAGAGTGTCCCGCTGTCGACATGGACACCGCTAACCAGGTTAGTGTCTGGGCGCTGCATGCGGACAAACGGACCCTTTTTTTCGGACTGAATGGTGCCTCCAGTCTAATTACCGCTCAATTGGTCGCTGTTCCGTTAATTGGCGCAATAAAAATGGTTTTAACCCCCCGTTTGTGTTTCTGCAGCTTGCAGCTGTGGGGACGTTTCAGGTGCTCAAATTACCTCTGGGATTTATCCGTGTTTTGGAATGGGTGAGTTTAAACTTAATTATTTTGCATGCATTAATTTAAGAAATTATAAATTAATCTATCTCGCTGCAGTATATTTTAATTTTCGCATTATTTGGAGGAAATTACTACTTTTCATCTTAAAAGAATGTTCTGCTTATCTTAGCAAAAGCTTCTTTTAAATACTGTTTATATTACAGCAGAAAACCGTTATGCCTAACCAATTATTTCTCTGTGCGCCAGCCCATTCCTGCAGATTTGTGCAAAAGGTTATGCTATGCAGTCGAGAATAAATGCTCCCATCTTACCCTGAGGTAACTGATAAAACAGGATTCAGAGTGCGTGCTCATTCTGACTGATCTGAAGCTTTACTGGCCCTGTCTGTCTGGGTGTGAGTTGTGCACCAGCGTGTTTATTGTACAGTGCAAATCAGCCTAGAAGAAAAAAGAAAAACGAGAAAGAATAAGAAAGATAAGGGAGCTTCTTTGATGTGAGTTTAGAGAAATTACTGTAGCCACGGGGGTCATCCATTTGTTCAGTGTGAATCTTTCTCAATATTACAGCAGTGTGCATCACAATTAAAGAAGACACAATAAGGGGTTTGTTTTCTTTAAAATAATTAAACTGATCAAAAACAACTCATTTAAGGAGTTGAGCCCTTTTGTGTGTGACCTGATTCACCTGAAATTTGTTTGCCAGAAGATACAAAACCACCATTTGTAAAGATGCATAGTGTGTGTGTGTGTGTGTGCGCGCGTGCGTGAGTAGTTATTTGAGCATCACTGCATCTTCCTCACATCTCAGCCTACAAGTGACCTTTCCATTCCTGCACCTTAATTTCTAACACCAGCGGTCCTCAGAATATTTAATTATTTTACAGGTCTTCACTAACCCATGGGCTCATATAGTAGCTGTATATTTGCAAGTATTCTGATTTATTTTGTAGCGTTAACAGTGGTTGGTTTTGTCATGACAATGGAAAAGAAGTCAGTTTAGTTAAAGTTGCTTATTGCCACTTTTTGAAATTAAATGCAGTTTGACTTCATTTTAGTCAGAATTGTAATACATAAGAGAAACCTGCAGGAACAGTTTCCCCACAATGTCCTCTTCATCCTAGTTGAGTCATGCTTTTACTCACAATCAGACACCAGTGGAAGCATGTCTTTGTAAAGAGCAAATTGTAAGATGGTAAGAGAAAATAAAACTTTGATGATGGGGATGAAGGTGATGAGGACGATGATGATTATGATGAAGATGATGATGGGAACGATGGTGGTGAGGATGGTGATGAGGACGATGATGATTATGATGATGATGATGATGATGATGGGAATGACGGTGGTGAGGATGAGAATTTTGAGAAATTAGAGGAATGGGTGATCCTATGTCCACAAATTAATACGTCTATGGGTCCTAACAATATCCTGGATTGCCAGATGATAACTTTTATTTTCTAAAATAATGCAGAAGATCGTTTGGGAAAAAGTTCTAACTTCAGTCAGAAAAACAACATTTTAAAATCTAAGCCCACCACTGAAAATTAGCTGTGATTGTCATCTGTTGTTGCAGCTGGAGATGGCATAGCTTGTGATTGTGATGTTGTGATTCTGCCTTAATTCAACAATTAGCTTTCAGATTCCTGATCACACAGTACTGTAATTTCCGGACTATAGAGCGCACCTCAATATAAGCCGCACCTACTAAGTTTTTAAAAACACATGGAACTGTACTTTTATAAGCCACACTGGGCTAAAAGCTGCAGATATCTACCGGACATCTACTGAATTGAAAACGTAGTTTAACTGAACATAACTGAACTGATCAGTATCAAACAAAACAGGAAAGTCATTGATTAGTTTATTCATCATCCTCCTGCGCACTGAAACCACTGAAGTCATCTTCTTCAGTGTTGGAGTTGAACAGCCTCAGAAGAGCGTCACATACCTTTTCTGTGTCGATGTCAGTGTCGCTGTCAGTGTTGCTGTCATCATCCCCTGGAGAAGCTGGCTTGAATGAGTTCTTCTCGCTGCCGTCTCCAACGCCGAACCATGGATTCATTCATGCCAAGCTTACGTGCGGCAGCACTGTTTCCCTCCTTTACTGCCAGATCGATGGCCTTCAATTAAATGCGGCAACATATGAACTCATACGTGTAGTTACCATGATGAGGGGGTATGGATTTGAAAACAATTCTTCTTCGTGCCGGCTCCTTGCATGTGCTAAATTAAAATGAGCACTTTCTTCGATTTCCACTTTTGACTTCCACCTGTTTCACTTTCTGCTAAAGCGCCCCCCGGCAGGTGAAGGAAAATCGTCAGTAAAGCCGCACCTCATTATAAGCTGCATGGTCCAAAGTGTGGGGAAAAAGTAGCGGCTTATAGTCCTCAAAATACCGTATATCCCCTGAAGTCTGACATCACACTGACCGAAGCATCTGCTAAACCATAAGAAAGCACTTCCTCTACAGTATTCTTAGTTTATTATGCTAATGTGTCATAATCTAAAGCCCTGCAGTAAATTTTCTGCCACAATACAGCACCAGCAGAACCATATGTGTGCCAGTTTGTTTTGTTTACATGCCTCCAGGCACTGAAGGCTTTTGTTAAGGCAGCAATTGACATTTACTTTGCACATGATGTACCCTTGACTGTACGTCCGTTTTGGTTATGTGGACACAGGGAGGGTTTTTCTAAAGGTTATGCATCCTTAGTGAAGATTTTTCTAACTTTTGTTGCTATTTTTCTGAGCTAAATCTGCATATGAATGAAGCAAATCCATAATTAAACCTGCCTGCTGGAAATTATGTGTGGTTTTGTTCTACTGTTACTGTGAAACCTAAAAAAAAAATTTAAAAAAAGCACAGCATACCTGTGGGGTCTGACACCTTTGTGTTAGGTTTAGGAATCTAGTTATTGGATCACAGGAAGGAGTTTGGGACACTATTATGTCAATATCGGCTCTTACAAATGCAGAAAAATAAGAACGATAGTGTGTGTGTGCGCGCGTGCGTGCGTGTGCGTGTGTGTGTGTGTGTGTGTGTCTGTGTGTGTGTCTGTGTGTGTGTGTGTGTGTGTGTGTGTGTGTGTGTGTGTGTGTGTGTGTGTCTGTGTGTGTGTGTGTGTGTGTGTGTGTGTCTGTGTGTGTGTCTGTGTGTGTGTGTGTGTGTGTGAGAGAGCATAGCTCTGTTTAGCACACTGTCAGAAGCTGGCATGTTCTGCTCCAAACAGCTGTAAGGTTCCCTCCTCTCCACTGTTGACCAACTCATGCAGAAGCTGTCCTTTGAGATGTGCCCGAACTCCTCACTGTTTTTGTCTTCATGCTTATGCATGCACATTTGAGGAAGAGACGGAAAGAAGGAAAGGGACATTGTACAGTTGCTTGAGCACATGATGCAAATGATGAGCACAGTCAGGCCGTTGGGTCATGTGGAACAGAGCAGTTCCACAAGTACAGTATGCGACTTTGTGACTCATCTGCCAGAACCTCCATCATGACTCTGATTAATGAGTAATGGTCTTCCTCTCATGCCAACCTAAACCGTTTCTGACCCACTGGTTCGTGATGTCATCCTCACTACCTTACTGTACACCAGTCTTGTTTCCCGGCGGGATGGTCAGGGATTTATGTGTGTATTTGTGCAGCAGCTGGAACAGCATTTCCTGGGCTATTCATGCATTGTTTGTCATTGGAGCTGCAGAATAAAGGTTTAAAACTCCTATTAAAGCATTTCAATTATCAGGTCAGCTGGTTTATCAACCTAGCTGATTGTCTGAATTTTGATTAATTAAGAGTGTTATAGTTAATAGCTACCTGAAATCACTATTCAGCGGTTATTTTTTATGATTAAAATGTGACCTGGAGTTTAAAACCACATTTATCTTGTTGTTATTGAATATAAACAAATTTAAGTATCTAAGAGAGTAAAAAGTCTCTGCCTATGACCTGCTTTCCTATGTAAATTAGTAACGTTGTAAAGGCAAGGAAGAAATGGTTCATCAGCATCATATCAGTTGCTTTCTGTGCCACTGTCTAGTCATCTATTTCCATCCTGCTCTAGCTTTGTCTGTTCAGATATCACATTTTGTTATTTCTTCATTGACATATAACTTCCTGTTAGCTATCAAACTACAGCTTTTACAAACTGTTGCCCAATGCTGATGCTAAACGTGCGGAAGGCTGCATGGTGACATTTGTCCACAGATGTCACAAGCATGTCAAAGATCTGTTTGGCACCACTGAAATAACTACAAACATGTTAAGGTTGAAAAAAATATATTTTTTGATTAAAACTTCTACAAGAGATGCATTCATATACATATTTATATGAGGTTATTTACATGCACAATGTTATGATGATCTGACTGAAATTTGAAAGGAAGCATTGTTTGTAACTAATGTCCTTGAAGAGCAAACCAGAATTTTACTGTTTATCTGTTCACCTCAGCCTCATTTGCCACAAACATGCTGAGCAGTTGGAGACCAACACTTCACTTGGGTGCTGAATTACTTCACATCACTGGTTTATTTTCATTAACAGAAAAAAGGACATTTTTGTCTTTTTATCATCCATCAAATATCCTCCTATGAAACAGAATTAGAGGACTTTTGTTTTTTAAGTTACTATAGCTTAAACAAATGGAGAAACGTAAATATTCTGGCCATTTGGGGGCCTAATATGAAGATATTTGGTGTTTGTGTTACCCCGATGAAACACCAGGTTGATCCAGCACAGGGGTTGTTTGGTCTCTGCTTGTCTGGAAGTCCCAAACATGGTATTTATCTATGTTTTTTACAAATTAAACACTGGTGTGTGGCTAGTACCAGATTCATTTTATTAGTCCTAACAAAGTGAAGCTATGTGTTGTCTTCCAGCTGCACTGAATCTCTTTTGTTTTGATTTTTATGTCATTAAAATCAATCTGACAAGATTGAATAAGTTGACAGGATGTGCTCCCAGCATGTGCTGAAACTGCTGTGAGGATAGTTTGAGCTTAAGAATGGATATTTTGGCAATTCTAAAGTAT